AGTCCATCGTCCGTCTGTCTGTCCGTCTGTCTGTCCGTCTGTCTGTCTGTCTGTCTGTCTGTCTGTCTGCGTGTCCGTGTGGTGCCATTCATTAATTCATTCATTCGGTCAAGCACTCCATATTACCTACCAGCACCACGGGGACAGAGACGGACACAGAGACGAGTGTTACGTACGGTTGGTGCGAGTTGTCTCTCTGTATACCAGTATACGTGTGTGCGTAAGGCCACCATGCCTCAGCCACACATGCAGACATCCAGATACTCGACAACGCAATTGGAAGAAAGCACCGGCGAGTTGTAGGTGCGAGCGAGACACAGCCTGGCCGAATGAGTATGATCCTCTGTCTGTCAGATCGTCTGCTTCATACTGAGTTGTCAACTCGTCTGCCTTTCCGAGTCGCATACGTGGATGCGTCGCAATGCGGACGTTCCACGGCAGGGTAGGGGCTCAGGGTTCAAACCCAAAACCCACAAAACCCTTGGTTGTGAATCACACTCTGGGTTTAGACGTCTTCGAGTTTTTCATGCCACGACAGACAAGACCCTCAGGCTTCCTGCCGTTGCGCTATGAGTTAATGTATTTCACACGCCCCGTTTGGTGGAGAATTGAGCGATGAGTGAGTCGGCATCGAAGCGGCAGAGGCAGACGGCGGAGGGAGAGGAGGATGACTCGAATGACAGAGACCACGAGGCCGTGATGGACACCGACGGCCAGCAGCAGCAGCAGCAGCAGCAGCAGGCCACGGCATCGCACGCCACACACACCATAGATTTGGAGGCCTTTGCTCATCGCTTCAGCCAAATCGTAAGATGCACCGAAGGAAACACAGGCAGACATCCTCATTGTCTCCTCTCTCTGTGTCTGTGTGGTGTGTGTTGTCCACTCAGCCTGTCGTCGTCGGCTACGTCTTCTCGTTCGTATCGCTTCACTTGGTGGCGGCGCTGCCCCAGCGGCTGTGGCGCCACGTCGGCTGCCAGATCACCCAGCTGGTCATGGACACCTACGACACGGCCGAGCGGCGCTTCTGGTGCGGCCTCTCATTCAGTGACGCCTTCGAGTGGGGCCGGCGGCTCACACGGCTCAGGTCCATCGTCGCCAAGTACCCGAAGAACCTCAACATCCTAAGAGAAACCCGAAGTGGGCACGTTTATCATCACGTTCACTCTCTGTCGCCGGTGATCGGGAAGTTCGTCACGGCATTGGTGGAGGGCCACAGTGAGGGGCGGAGAGGCGCATTGGCCACAGCAACCGGGCAGCAGGCGCCAACCACCTTGGAGTCCATCGACATAAGCGAGGGATCGATCATATCCGCCGACGAGGCCGAGGGCCGCGAGATCAAAGCGGCCGACCAGCGGTTGGTGGCTCTCTCCCCGCCCCTCGACCCGCCCCCGGCCCTCACATCCATCAGCTCCATTATCATCCCGGGATATGGGCCTTCCTGTCCCGGCCGCGGGCGCCAGTGGCAGCTGTCGTCGCTTGAGACAGTCCAGGTGCGGGGGACGGTGTATCCGGAGATGTTGGGGGGGCTGGTGGCCACGTCGCGACGCCTCAAGGAGCTGCACGTGGAATGCACTCTTAACACCATGGCAGGGTCGCTGGCGCAGATCCCTGTGGCAGCCGCGGGCCAGCCGGGCCCCCTGTCACAGCTGGAGGACATCGGAACCCTCAGTGTGAGCACGAGCGCTGAGGGTCTGGAGCCCCTTCAGGTATGCGACGAACGAAACAAGATTCACAAAATCAGAGAGAGTTGGCGAGAGCTTGCTTGTGAATTGCGTGTGTCTTTGTGCAGGCTGTCCTTGTCGATCGTGGCTGCCGCTCCATCAAGAAGCTCAGCGTCAAGATCGAGGAAACCCACATCGACAGCGGCATCTTCGCGACCCTCGTGGCCATCGAGGCCTTCGCCCGTGCCGTGTGTGTACGGCGTGACATCCCCGTCGACATCAAGACTGGGGCAATATATTGGACCAGGGCCTGCTTCTTTGACCTGTCGCTCCTCTGTGACACTCCCACGAGCCCCGCCTCCTCATTCTTCGTGCAAAGGCACATCCAGCAGCTGGCCGCCGCATTAGAGGCAGCCCTCTTCACCATCCGCCCCCACCATCTCACCACCCCTCTCGACACGCCCAGCCCCGCTGCCATCGCCCTCGCACAATGCCTGACATTCCCCAACGTGAAGGATGTGGGAATGGAGACATCACACAACTGGGAGCCTGACGATGATGCCGACCAGCCCGACCCACTTGTGCTCGACAGCATACCCGACAATGCATTCCCGGCCGCATCGCGTCTCCGGTGCCACAGCCGTAAGGGGCTCGCGATTGGCCGCAGGCTGCTGACCAAGATGCCGGCGGCCAAACGCATTGACCTGCGGAACCCGACAGAGGAGCAAGCGGTGGGGATGCTGCAGGCGGTGGGCGGGGGGAAGTCGTTGGGGTATTTCAATGCCGATTGGGTGACGGATGTGGGCGAGGGGGGGCTGACGTGGGGCGACATGGCGGACCAGCTGCCGACCATCACACGGCTGTTTATTACCATAGAAGGTGAGCAGCAACCAATCGGCAGCTCTCGCACGCCAGCCCATTGGACGTTATGTATGCCTTCTTGTGTGTGCAGTGCCTGAGGATGTGGGTGACGGCGATGCCGCCGGTGAGTTCGGCATTGCGTGCGTCAAGTCGCTGCTCAAGATCCGCGGCATCAAGGAGCTTCTGTTCGAGCTGCGGCGAGGTGGAGGGCAGCACTTCAGGCGGCTGGTGGAGGAACGGACACATGGCGATACCATTGAAGGGCTGGAGGGGCGGTACGACATCGGCTGGGGGGGATATATGCTCATTCTCCAACAACTGGACACCTGACTCATCCGTGGCTGCTGTGGGGGAGACTAACTTAAGCTGCATGTTTCATGAGTGTCTGCGTGCTGGACTTGTAAAGACACACACGAGAATCAAAGAGTGGTTGAACCTTCGTCTACCAGTATGTCCGTCCCTACGTGTGTGTCCGTGTGCACGGGGCCACCATGCCCCCGACAGACAGACAGACAGACAGGCAGGCAGCCACCCACACACACATCCAGCCCACCAACATGTGTGGCAATCTCTCCGAGAAATGATGTGTCCGTGCGTGGAGTGGCCAACCGCCTGTAGATAGGTCAGCCAGCCAGCCAGTTGCACGACAACAAACTAGCCCAGACAGACAGACATCTATACGAGAAAACCGGATCGATCGCTGTTGGTACGTTGATACAAGGAAATGGGGCAAGGTCACTGGTTGATGTGATGGATCGACACACGGCCTATACGCAGGACAGTCGGCAACTCGGCAACGCACACAGGCAGGCAAGCAGGAAATACTCAGTCTTGCGCCACACACATACACCCACACATACACCCACACACACACACGCAGGGGAAGAAGAGATGTCCACATCAGCCACCACACGGAATTCCGGTCAGTGCGTCGCACTCACTGCATTCATTGCCTCATGTCCCATCCCACAAACCAAAGCCCCTCGCCCAACAAGCCGAGGAAACCAATCGCCAATGCACACAGACGACCGGACGGGACGACTGCCAACAGAAAAAGAGAGACAACACAGCCAAACGAGCTGACAGACACGCGAAGGAACGAACACCCAATAACTACAAAACGGCCTTGCTTCGCTTCAACCCACCCCCACCACGTGTATGTGTGTCGGACAACACGTGTGTGGTCCTCCTCCCTTGGTTGATGGGCTGTCTGTTCTGTCCAGCTGGAGTCAGCCCCTTCCTCAGTCAGTCAGTCGAGTTTTGGGATGCATTTGTGGTAGATGTCTACGAGCGTGTTGGGGTGGATGGAGTAGAAGGTGTCCCACTCCTCCTTGTCGCTCTTGAACTCATAGAACTCCGCGTCCTCAGCCTTGTAGACAAACACACAAACACACACGCAGGCAGGCAGACACATACAGACGCTGACGCCCCTGCCTGTGTGTGCGCGAGGCGCATCTCCTTCTCTCTGTCAGACTTACGATTGCGTCCTTGACGACTTGTTCCTTGCACTTGACCACCAACTTGTCCACCTCCAGCTGATCATCAGGATGGACGGATGGATGGACCCACACACATCGTGTCGTGTGCGATGCCGTGTGGATCGGCTCACCTCGGCGTGGTGGTTGCGCTTCGAGAACTGGCCGGCATAGGTCTTGTGCAGCCACTGCAGCAGCTCCACCACCTGGACACAACCACAACCACAACCACACCACACCAGACCGAGTCCACACATCCGTGTATCCTGTCAGGCGTGCCTCAGACTCGTACCATTTGTCTGAACTCTGGTTTCTTGATGCCTGAGATGAAGTGCTCGACGGTGAGCTCGAAGTTGAGCTCGCCCTCGGTCATCGACAGCACCGCCTCGTGGCTCACCCTGCACCCATCGGTCCATCCACCCACACCCAGACGTACACATCGACCGACATATGGTATGCTCGTGTGCATGTGCAACCTCCCTCCCTCTCCACACGCACTTTCTGGATCCGCATTTCGGTTCGATCTTCATGTCGGCCACGAGGTGCCACACATTGCGGTAGAAGTCGGCGGGCACACTGACACACACACACAGAGAGCCATGCACGCACACATGGTGCAGCTATGGATGTGTGTGTGTGTGTGTGTGTGGTGCCGTCCTTGAAGGCCGCCCACCGGCTGATGACGCCGTTGAGCTCCCGCAGTATGCCGAATTTGGGGTCGAATCTGACACAGACGCCCCATGCAATGCGATGTCATCATGCCACCCACGGTGGGGTATGTGTGTGTGGTGTACGTGAGTTCAGGTCCGGTTTGCTCTGTCCACGCAGCCACGAAGAAATCGCCCGTCTTGTCCTTGCTGAGCAGCTCCTGCACACACAACACAACACAGCGAGCGGCCTCCCCCTCTTAGATGGATGTCTGTGTTGATCCATCCATCCATCCATCCATCCACTAATCCATCGATGTGTGTGTGTCTGACCGTGAGAGCCTGCTGCACTTCGTATGGCTGCAGTCCGAACAGCACCGTGGCCTCCAACGCATCGCTCTTCATGCCACGCAACGACCACTGCACACACAAGAAGGTGCGTATCCTCCGTGTGTGTGTGTGTGTGTTCGTGTCCTTGGTTGGTCGTAGGTGCGTACCGTCCGTCGTGCGGGTGCCTTGTCGACGCTCATGATGGGCTCGCCCACCTTGCCACCCAGCGTAGGCGGCAGCATACCCACAGCGGCCTTCACAACCGGCGACGGCATGTTCTCCGCCTCCTATTGGTCAATCCATCCAGGCATCCATCCATCCATCCATTGATCTGAGTGTCTGTGTGTGCACAGTACAGGTGACCCACCTTGACGAGGAGTCTGAGCAGCAGGTTTATCTCGAGTCTGTGGACGTTGGTGATGAGGTCGGTCTTGCGGGCGAGGCGGGCGACGTGGTAGAGCAGCTCCTGCACCAGGATGCACTCCTGCCAGTTGCCCTCGCACCGCTCCAGGATCATATCCGCCACTCGGTGGGAGTTTCCCAACTCGGGGGTCATCACCACCCTAAACACACACACAGACACACAGGCAGACATGACAAGCGTGAGTGTTGCGGGTGGGTAAAGGGCTGGGCGTGGGTGTGGGTGTACCAGATGGTGTCATTCCTGCTGTTGGGGTCGTTGCAGTCGTGCAGCAACACGGTGATGCCGTTCTCAACCAACAAACATGACACCGCCCAACTCAGCTGCAACACCCCAAAAACACACACACACACACATGGCCACCCCGAACCCAACAAAAGCCTGTCCACCCATCCATCCACTCACCCTGTCGAATTTAAGGTTGAGCAGAGCTGCGGCCTTTCTGGCCACTCGCCAGTTGTCGCCCCTCCCGGCTCTCTCCAGCACCTCATAGACGAGCTTCCGCACCGTGGGCGAGCCGGTCTGTCCGCTGAACCCCGTGTTGGTGGAGTCGAGCCCCTGGGCCTTGACCACCTGCTGCAGCACGTCCAGCTGCTCCTCCAGGGGGGAGACCTCGGGCAGCATGTCGAGCTTGGTCTGGAAAGGGACAAATGGTGTTTTGGCGAGGTGTTTTGGTGTTTTCGCGAGGTGTTTAGAGCAGACTCATGGCACCTTGGTGTTTTGGCGCTGCCACGGGCAGGTCTGGGACTCGGTGGGACACGACGGGATGTAGTACATCGGCATCTCCGGCGTGTCCTCTGTTGATAGAGGGAAGCCGAGCAGACACAACAAGATGTCGAGGAGGGTGGTGGGTGTGATTGTGTGTCTGTGTCTGTGTGTGTGTTGTAGTGGGGTCGCAGACCGATTCCTGGCCCGTGGAAGTGGAACTCCTTACGGACATAGCCCACATTGACGGTCTCTGTGTTTGGGGGGGAGGGGGGCACACACAAACACAAAGGGGCACATGGCAGGGAGACCCACTAAAGTCACAGTGACTGACTGACCGGTGTGTTTCATGCTGACGAGGTCGTCGATCGAGAGGAGTCGGACGCGCACGAAGGCCTTGGAGTGAGCCGGCACCTCCGGCAAATCAGCAGCAGAGGGGTGAGGCTGCTGTCCACGGTGCTGACACACACACACACACACAAACACACGTCTTTGATAAATTAGTGTGCGAGTGACTGAGTGGCTGAGTGGCTGAGTGGCCGATTGGTTGTGGTGTGTCTGCACCTGAGGCGACGTCGGCGCGGTCAGCTTCGTCTCTCCGCCGTCCTTTTTGTGCTGTGGCGAAGTCACGTCGAATGTCAGCTCCTCACGGGGGGCACGCTGGACAGGCGCACACACACACATGCAGACAGACAGACAGACAGAGGTGTATGAGTGCTGCCATGGTGTCACTGACCCACCGCCCGACCGCCCGCCCGACTTACCTTGATGTGTGTGACTGAGGCGGGCCGTGCCCTGCCCAGCGGCAGGGCGTCGGGGGATGCCACCTCGTCGGGCCGATCGAAGGCCGACATCAGACGCTGCACCAATGAGGGGGGTCACCAAAGGCGTCAGTGGGCTCTAAGCGTGTGTGTGTGTGTGTGTGTGGCTGGTGCATACGAGCAGTTCGGTGTTGGCGAGCATGTCAGCGGTGAAGTATAGCAGCACGACGGGCAGCGCATTGCCGGTGTCCTGCACGCGCCAGTTCTCCGTTATGTACTTGAGCGTGTTGCGCACACTCTACACACACCACACACCAATCACACACGCACACAGAGTCTAGCAACCGTGAGCCTGTGCGTGTGTGTGTGTGCGCACTCGTGTGTAGAGGTGGGGGTCGTAGTTGAGCTGAGAAACAAGCATCAGCCAACAAACAAACAGGCAGGCCACCGTGCAGTGCAGGCATTTTGTTGACTTGGTGTGGTGTGTTGTGTTGTGTTGTGAGTACGTAGAAGTCCCGGTCGAGTATGTCGAGGGTCCAGCAGGTGAAGACACACAGCTTCCCGATCTCGCTCGCTATACTCGGCAGACTACACACACACTCAGCGATCGTTGGATGGATGGATGGATGGATGGGCTGTGCGTCTGTGCGTACCGGTAGACTCTGGACGTTGTGAGCGACCCGATGGGCCGCTTGGGGCGGCCACTCATACCCAGCTCATGACACTCGCCCACACCCTGATGTGCAAACACACACACAGAGACAGACAGATGAACACATAAAGGGGCTCTGAGCTGCTCATGTGTCATGTCATGTTATGTCATGTGTGTGTGACCTGGAAGAGTCTCTCGAGGTCGGCGTGTCTTCTGAAGTGGATGTTGTGCCTCTCGCGCGCCTCACTCGGGTACGTCACCACAAACCCATCACCTAGAAACAAACACATTCACCACACACACAGATATGTGCAGCCGTGCAGGGCGTCGTGTTCGTGTGTGCCTCCCTCCCTCCCTCCCTCCCTCCTTGTCTACCCATTCTAGCCTCGAGCTTCTCAGCGACGGATCTGTTCTCGGCGCACACGACCACCTGGACGTACTCGCAGTAGTCGGGGCCGTCCAGGAGCTTCAAACGACGCTGCAGCGGGTCGATGTCCTGCACACACATCAGACACACATACACATACACACACATCCGTGATGTCTGTGTGTCTGATTGTGTGAGGGTGTGGTGGTGGATGCGTACGTCGAGGTCCATGATGCCGTCGTGGATCATCTCGCCGATGAGAAACAGCGACTGTGCCCATATCAATGGCACGTTGTCGTTCGGGCGACGGTGCTGACTGCAGAGGGCATGGACACACACAGACACACACACATCACGACACTCTCATTGACTGACTCGCGAGATGCCTTGTGTGTGTGTGTGTGTGACCTCTGTGGTTTTCGTTTCTCGTTGTCGATGTTGTGTCCTTCGACCCAGTAGACCTCGGGCAGCATCGGATAGCCGTCACGCCACTGCACACAGTTCTGCACTCACAACACACACCACACACCCACCACACACGCGATCACACCCACACACACATGCGCCATTCTTGTGTCTGTCTGGTGTGTGTGTGGGATGAGTACGTTCATGATTTTCTCGCGGTAGTGCTCAGCCCGCTTGTCGTCATCTGTCCGTCGGACACACACTTGATGTGTGGGTGTGAGAGTCTCTGTGTGGCCAACCATGGAACAGAGCCTCCAGGTAGAGGTAAGTGAAGAACAGCGGCCACTCGCACTCGATGTGCTCAAACTTCTTGAGCTCCCATATCTCGTAATGCAATCTCGAGTGGTCCTCGTTGGCGCACTGGTGGCCGTCCAGCAGGAAACGCTTGCACCCGTGGCGCCCCTCCAGCAGGCTGCTCAGGGCGTCGCGGGTCTTCTGCAGAGTCTCGCGCGACGACACCGCAAACCCGGGAAAGCCGATGATACTCAGCAACGCCGCATCCGTCTCCTGCACACATGTGCTGCTATATGTCAGTGTGTGTGTGTGTGTGTGTGTAGGTGGTGTGTGTGGTGACCTTTGAGAATGACTCTCTCGGTAGGCTTCTGGAGAGGTGCTTTCGGCAGCGGGCGATCTCGTCGGGGAAGCAGATGACTTTGCTGCCAGTGGCGTTGCGCGAGTGGAACAAGTCCAAGCCGTCGCTGGTCGACAGATGGCGAAACGGCACACACACACGCGCGCGCACTCAGTGATCCCCCCATGTGTGAATGGGTGTACACCACACACACAGAATATGTACGCGTACATGGCTTCCATGGCCGCCTTGGCCATGCCGATCGAGCTGCAGTTCAACTCTGGCTCGCCGTTGTTGATCTGAACAACGATTCACACACAGATGTGCAACAGGTGTGGGCGAGCCGGGCCGTGTTTGCCTGCCTTGTTGCCGCGCTCCCAGATGCCGAAATCCTGACAGAGACGCACACAGGTGTCCAGCCGTATGTTTCCTCCGCGGTCGCCTGGCTGGCTCACCGGTATCTTGTAGGCCTGCTCGATGTAGTAGACCAGGTTCTGCATGAAGTTGACCTCGTGGGCCGTGCAGATGATGCGCAAACCGGATGCCGTCATGTTGGCCACCGCCAACACGAAGATCGACGTCGCGTCCACTTGCAGATGGCCCCACTGACACACACACACACAGGTGTGATGTCCGCCTTTATGTGAGGGTGTTTGTTGGTGCGTCGTTGTGTACTTTGTCGTCGCCGACGACCGTGTTGCCGCTGTTGGTGTCGTATTTGGCGTGGAGGCAGTCCATGTGGTGGGTGGTGTGCTTGAACTTCTCCACCTTGTGGGACTGCTTCATCATCGCTATAACACACACACACACCCCATTGCATCACGCCCATGCCCGTGTATGTGTATGTGTATGTGTATGGGTGTGTCATGGTTGCGTACAGTGCAGCAGGCCTCTCATGTTCCTGACGGCGGCGTTTTCGAGCTGGAAGGCCCTGTCGCCCGCAGGCACCTTCCGGTACACCAAACCCAGCGCCCACACAGCCAAGATGCTGTACACTGACCATCACAGCACCGATGGACCGATGGATGGATGCCACCACAGTCGAACAGACAGACAGACACGCACAAGGAAAAGTCTTTCATTTGTCGGCTGCATGGCTGGCTGGCTGGCTGGGCTGTCCTGCCTTATCCTCTCATGTGTTGGTCATGAATTGTCGGTCGTACCGTTGTCGCGCACCCAGGCATCGGTGTAGTTGCCGTGTGTGGTAATGGCAGTCGACGCGGGCAGGAGCCCTGCATAGATAGAATGACATGACAGGCAGGCACACGCAAGACAATCAGAGGGGACGTTCGGTTCTCGCCATGCATGCCTCTCTGTGTGTGCGTGTGTGTGGCCGTCAAGTCCCCTCACCTGTGTGGTGGTTTTGCTTCTGCAGGATGAGCCTGTCCACCAGCTGGTAGTGCTTGTCCAGCCTCTGAAGTATCTCTTCACGGCTCTGCATGCCGGCAACGCGATGAAACACTCAGGGCCTCCTCTGAAAGAACCCGATGGAAAAGGCAAAGGCAGGGAGGGAAGGGAAAGCTCCGCAGCTAAGCTCGCAGACCTCCTCAAAAGCGAAACAGCCACGAAAGCAACGCATTGCCGGGAGGCAGGCCTGAAGGTGCTGCGAAGCATTGGACTGATTTGTGGGCAATGGAGAGCAACGCATCTATCACGGCCTCGTCGCTGCTGGAGCCGCCGCAGCGGCCTGGGGAGACCACTGACAGGCACGTCATCCGGCGCAACATCCAGGGCCTGCTGCGGGCCATCCAGCACGAGTATGTGGCGCCCTCCATCTACGTCGCCACTGGAGCTGTGCTCACTGCATGGGGCGCCCGGTGCCTTTTGCGGATGAATCGGTTCCTCTCTATGCGGTATGCGGACATCCCCTACCAGATCAGGCGGCCCGACAGCCTGGCGAACCGTGTGGCCGCCTTCAAGTGTCTGGTGCTGGGGGGATCTGTCGTGCCCATCTTCACCCTTGGCTTCGTCTATGTCATGAGGTATACACACACACGGACTGGGACAGCAGACACACAGTCGGAGCTTGCAAAGGAATGTTGGTCTCTCTCTCTCTCCATGTGTGTGTGTTAGAGTGCGTCCAGGTCCCGATGAGGCCGTGTTGATGCAGCCCGACTGGCAGTACCAGCTGTCCCGCGCAGGCAAGGTGGCCAAGTATAATGTGGGCGAGTGGCTCAAGCGGCTGGGCCTCACCACAGAGAGTGAGAACATGCGGTCGTGGGTGGCGATGGCCAAGAAGATGACCATGCACGAGTATTACCGCACCATGGGGCTCGACAAGGAGCTGCTGGCTCAGGCGAGGGAGAGGGACAAGAAGCGACTGGAGGGGATGGGCCAGCCCATGATTGAGAGCGGGGAAGACCTTGTCCGATAGCCAGACAGATTGTGAGACAGCCAGAATCACGGCATAAGTGGTGTGTGGACGCATGTGTCGGTGATATGTTGAGGGGCTGATATGTCGGAAGCTCAAACGTCGTTCGGTCCTCATGCGTGTCGGTACAACTCCAACACGCACTCATTCATCCACGAGCGATGCAGCTTACTTAGTCCACCCCACAGCGGCCACACATGAGAGCATCCCTCCAGCATGGCACCCCCACATCTCTCCCTCTGCACCTCATTCTATTCTACACATCAGCTAATGATGGGCCGACCTGACAGGCAAACGTACAGCCCAAAACACACCGCCGGCAGTGGACAAGCACGCCCATACCAGGTAGCCAAACCGTACGCACCTGTCGTCTTTCTCTAGGTGTTAAGCCGTTTGAGAGTGAGGAATCGTCCCAGATATCCCCTCCAGCTGATGTCATACCGCCCCTCCAGCCCCTCGATGGTGTCGCGATGCGTCCGCTCCTCCACCAGCCGCTTGAAGGCATCGTGGGGCACCGGCTGAAACTTGAGCTCCTTGACGCCTCGGATCTTGAGCAGCGACTTGACGCACACAATGCCGAACTCGCCGGCGGCATCGCCATCACCCAAATCCTCAGGCACTGCCGACAAGGACACATAAAGGGGGACAGCAGGGAGAGTCGATTGAGGCGATTGCTTGCAGCTCACCCTCTACACGAAGGTCCAGTACTGTGACGGTCGGCAGCTGATCCACGATGTCGCCCCACGTCAGCCCCCCCTCACCCACACCCGTCACCGGCCAGGCCTCGAAACACTCCAACTCCCTCTCCCCACCCACCGCCTGCAGCATCCCCACTGCGTGCCCCTCTTTCGACTTCCACAGTGCAATGCGTTTGACCACCGGCATCTTAGTCACCAGCCTGCGCCCACTCGCGAGCCCCTTGCCGCTGTAGCACCGGAGACGCCATACAGCGGGGAATGCGTTGTGAGGCATGCTGTCGAGCACAATCGGGTCGGGCTGCTCGTCGTCATCGTCAGGGTCCCAATCGTCCTGGTCCGACACTGTCACGGTCGTCGCACTGGGGAATGTCAGGGATCGTGCGAGGGCCATGGCAGCGGGGCTGGGCGCGTCGAGAGCGGTGGTGAGATGGTGAGGGCGAAGGACACTGTGTGGGCTTTGGCGGCCATCTGCTGGATGTGCCTCTGCACGAAGAATGAGGGCGCGGGGCGGATGGGGGTGTCGCAGAGGAGCGACAGGTCGAAGAAGGAGGCCCCGGTCTTGATGTCGACGATGTCGGAGCTCACACAGACGGCAAGTGTGAAGGCCTCGATGGCCGCGAGTGTCGCGAAGATGCTGCTGTTGATGGAGTAGTCCTCGAGCTCGACGCTGAGCTTCTTGATGGAGCGGCACCCACGGTCGACGAGGACGGCCTGCACACAGACACACGCAACTCACAAGGAAGCTCTCGCCCTCTCTCTCTGATTTTGTGTATCTTGTGTGGTTCGTCGCATACCTGAAGGCCCTCTAGATCCTCAGCGCTCGCGCTCACGCTGAGGGTCCCGATGTCCTCCAGCTGCGCCAGCGGCCCCGGCTGGCCCGGAGCTGCCGCCGGGATGCGCACCAGCGACCCAGCCATGGTGTCAGGGTGGCATTCCACGTGCAGCTCCTTGAGGCGCCGCGACGTGGCCACCAGCCCCCCCAACACCTCACAGTCATACACCCTCCACAGCCTCCCCTCCACCTGCACCCTCTCGAGCGACGGCAGCTGCCAGTGGCGCCCGCGGCCGGGGTAGGAGAGCTCATCTTCTGGGATGATAATGGACGTGAGGGATGTGAGGGTCAGGGGCGGGTCGAGGGGAGCCGTCGACGGCTCTCTCGCAGCTCGGATATCGCGGCCCTCGGCCTCGTCGACGATGATGGTCGACTCGCACTCGCTTATGTCGATGGACTCGAGTGTGCTCCGCCCCTGCCGCCCCACTGCTGTGGCCGCTGCGGCTCTCCGCCCGTCGCTGTGGCCCTCCACCAATGCCGTGACGATCTTGTCGATCACCGGCGACAGAGTGCGGTGGTTATACGCGTATGGCCGCCGACCAGGAGTTTCACTTAGGATCCGAAGGCTCTTCGGGTACTTAGAGACGATGGACTTGAGCTGTTTGAGCCGCCGGCCCCACTCGAAGGCGTCAGCGAATGACAGGCCGCACCAGAAGCGCCGCTCGGCCGTGTGGTGGGTGTCCATGACCAGCTGGGTGATCTGGCAGCCGACGTGGCGCCACAGCCGCTGGGGCAGCGCCGCCACCAAATGAAGCGACACGAACGAGAAGACGTAGGCAACGACAACAGGCTGAGTGGACAACACACACCACACAGACACAGAGAGAGCAGACAATGAGGATGTGTGTGTCTGCCAGTGGATTCGTTTGCTGCATCTTACGACTTGGCTGAATTGCTGTGCGAAGGCCTCCAGATCTATGCTGTGTGTGGCCTGCTGCTGCTGCTGCTGCTGCTGGCCGTCGGTGTCCATCACGGCCTCCTCGTCTCTGCGGGCGGTGGTGATAACGCGGAATTCTAGGGTTTGAGCCCTAACCCTCAGGCTGTTGAATCGAAAGGGGAAATGGTGGGCGTGGTGGGCGGCGCCGCTGGAAGACACGCCAGGCGGGCGCTGAGGATGGTGCTGGCATGTTTGTCGCATGATTGAGGGTTGGCCGATGTTGACGCAGTTCATTTCATGAGAGACCGACTGACTCGGCCTGCCGTTGCGCTATGAGTTAACGTATGTCACACACACTTTCATCCCCAAAGCCATGCCTAGCAGGCCGGCAGGCAGGCAGGCCCCTGTCTTTCCTCTCCTCCCTCCCTCTCGTCATATGAGGCATCATCACCGGATTTGGTGCACACGTGGCCATGACAGAATGAATCGGCCAGCCAACACGCAAGAATGCAACACTAGCTATCACCCAGCAGTGAGAAAGTGTATATCACGCAGCCAACTAAAGATCGTGAAATGAATGAATGGATGGATGGATGGATGGAGACAACACACCAACGTGACAGACACACACGTATGACAAACCGTGACCCCCCTCAGCCCACAGCGCCTCTAGCCGCTGACGGGCAGTGTCTCTCAAGCGAAAAGCAGCGACCGGCACATGCTGCCAGCGGCCACAATGAAACAAAACCTATGAGCTACAAGTCAGCAGCGGCCCGTCACCTCCCACCTCCACCTCCCTGGCCGTTGCTCTGTTGGCACGGCGTGAGCCCCCCCCCACCCACCGCCATGTAGGTGGGCCGACGCACACAAGGCGGGCGACCCGACAGACATACATGGAACCAACATGACACACATCGCTAACACTGTGGGAGTCCACCCATACAGCATACCAAACTGCACCTCCTCTGTGGTCTTCTGTTAGGTGTCCAGGGGTTTCAGGATGAGCATGTTCTCCTGAAATCCCCGCAGTGCTTGGAGAGTGAGGAAATTTCTCCAAAATCCCCTCCACTCGGTGAGAAACCACCCCTCCGGCTTTTCAATGGCGTCGCCATCAGTCCGCTCATCCACCAGCCGCCTGAAGGCTTCGTTGGGGATCAGCTGGAACTTGAGCTCCTTGATGCCGCGGATCTTGAGCAGCGACTTGACGCACACAATGCCGAACTCACCGGCGGCATCGCCAACACCCAAATCATGAGGGACTGCACATAGACAGACAGACAGACGGGCACATCCAGGACACAATGGGCTGCCATCTGAATGGAGGCGATTGGTTGCTGCTCACCTTTCACACTAACATCCAGCCGTTCGATGGTCGGCAGCTGATCCGCCATGTCCCCCAACGTCAGCCCCCCCTCGCCCACACCAGTCACCTTCCTGGCCTCGAAATACTCCAATGACCTATCCCCGCCCACCGCCTGCAGCATCCCCACTGCTTGCTCCTCGGTTGGGTGCATCCACAGTTCAATGCGTTTGACCGCTGGCATCTTGGTCACCAGCCTGCGGCCAATCGCGAGACCCTTGCTGTGGACGGACAGCGACGATATGGCCGGGAATGCATTATCGGGTATGCTGTCCAGCACAAGTGGGTCGGGCTGGTCGGCGTCATCGTCGAGCTCGTCGCCGGCGTAAACGTCGAGCTCGCCGTCATCGTCAGGCTCCCAATCATCCCACATGTCCACCACCCCCACATCCTTCACGTTGGGGAATGTCAGGGACTGCGCGAGGGCGATGGCAGCGGGGCTGGGCGTGTCGAGAGGGGTGGTGAGGTGGTGGGGGCGGATGAGGAAGCGCGCTCCGGAGGCTTCGACCGCCAGCTGCTGTATGTGCCTCTGGACGAAGGGGGAGGGCTCCGGGCTCGTGGGAGTGTCGCAGAGGAGGGACAGGTCGAAGTGCCCGTCGATCTCGATGTCGACAGGAATGTCGGGGCTCACACACACGGTGCGGCTGAAGGCCTCGATGGCCGACAGGTGAGCGAAGATGCTGCTGTCGGTCCAGTATTCCTCGAATGTGACCTTGAGCTTCTTGATGGAGCGGCAGCCACGGTCGACGAGGACGGCCTACACATAGACACACGCACATCACAAGAAAGCTCTCACCCTCCCTCTCTGATCTTATGGAGTTCATCGCTCACCTGAAGGCGGTGAAAACCCTCCCTCAAATCCTTGTCCAAAAGGTCCCCCCGCGAAATCTGGAATGTGCCGACATCCTCGAGCTGCGACAGTGGGCCCGACTGGCCGGCCGCTGCCACTGGGATCTGCGCCAGCGACTTGGCCATGACGTCAGGGTGGCATTTCACGTGCAGCTCCTTGAGGCGCCGTAACGTGCCCACCAGCTCCCCCAACACCTCATCCTTCCACACGATCTCTCGCACCTCGACAGTCTCGAGTGACCTGGAAACCTGGACAGTCTCGAGTGACGGCAGCTGCCAGTGGCGCCCGTGGCCGGGGCAGGAGAGCTCATATCCCGCGGGGATGCCTGTGATGGATCTGAGGGATGTGAGGGTGGGGGGCGGGTCGAGGCGCGGGGGGAGACTCGGATCCGTCGACTGCTCCGTCGCAGCTAGGATAACGCGCCCCTCGGCCTCGTCGATGATGATGGGCGATTCGCCGTCGCTTATGTCGATGGACTCCAAGGTGGTTGGCGCCTGCCGCCCCGCTGCTGTGGCCGCTGCGGCTCTCCGCCCGTCGCTGTGGCCCTCCACCAATGCCGTGATGATCTTCTTAATCACCAGCCGCGACAGAGGCATGTAGTCATAAGTGCGCCCTGGGATGCCTCTCGGGATGTATAGGCCAGGGGGAGACTTGAAGAGGTGGGGGGGGGAAACTGTCATTAACCGTAACACTCGTCTGTCTGTCCGCGATACTCATACAAATACAGTCCCATCAGCACGCAGAGTCAAACAGGCTCAAGGGGAGGAGGGATCAATCCCCGCCCCATCAGCACACCCCAGTCCCGCAAACCCTCCCCTCCCTCCCCCACGCAGACAGAAGCTAGTCGCACGCGCGAGGGCGATAGACAAGCGAGAGCGAATCCATCCAGACACATGACTGAATCCCCGACCCTTCCACCCCTCCTTCTCCAACAGCGC